ATAACAATCAAAAGTATGTATCTTAACCCTTATTATGTGATTTTTTTATTATAATGAATAGATTTATGGTTTGTATGTTGTTGTTCATATGGTATGTTCAATTAGAGAAGACATAGATCAAATTAGGGTTGCATGCACACATAGGATTATATGTTTATGCTAAAATCCATGAAAAATAGCTTATAAACAAACTTTTTAAAAAACTATTCAACGATTTTGGCCATGAAGGTTTGCCTGCAGTGACTTCAGGGCATGAGACAAAACCTCATGTTTGCAGCGGATGATTAGTTGATGTGCGAAAGCTGGCCCGGAAACTCTCATTAGGGTAGCTCCCTTTAAAAAAACAAAATTTAAAAAAAAAAAAAAACACTATTTTAACAAGCTTTTTAGGAGGTTTTTTTTTTATTTTTTTATTTTTTTATTTTTTTTAATTTTTTTGTTTTTAAATCCAAACATACCCTATAATCAATTACAGAAAGACATTACTTTAAAATGTTATTTTATGTCATTTTATATCTTTCACTTATCTTTTTAACTAGTTTTAGCAAACTTTATTAGTTAAATTTTCAGCTATTAGTTAACAACTAATTTTTCAGATACAACTAACTTTTCAGCAACTACTCTAAATATAACCTTAACCTTTTTTTAATGATTTTTTTAGAGTTCCAAAGCATTACTTTTATTTATTTATATACTCCTAAATTTTCAAAATCATTACTTTTAATTATTCATTTGGTCAGTATATATATATATATATATATATATATATATATATATATATATATATATATATATATATATATATAATATATATAATATATATATATATATATATATATATATATATATATATATATATATGGCTAGGTTATAATGTGGATGAACAACTATCGTACGAACGTATGAATAGTTTTATTTTATAAGAATTACTAAGAAAATTTGTTGTTTAGTAATGTGAATATGTTCAATCTCAGATAACTATTGTTATTTTAATAGATTCTCACTAATTATAATTCATTTTTGTTCTCTTGCATCGTTTTTCACTTATTTTCATTCTTACAGAATACGATTCAATAAAATCCTGATAATATTATGACAGAATAAGAATAATTAAAAAAAATCTATAATAATCTTATAGACGATTTAATTAGTAAAAATGCATAATACTTACAGTAATTATATACGATTGAACGCATTCATATCACCAAACAACATATTTTCTTTTTCATTTTCATAGAATAACATTGTCCACACGTCCACACAATAGATGTTAATCCACATGTGAACCTAGCTTTTATATATATATATATATATATATATATATATATATATATATATATATATATATATATATATATATATTGTATACGACCATGAATTTCACGCGTGATGTTCAACAATTGCCTTTTAGACCGAATTTAACAAGTCTAATTGATTTCTAACGATTTTTCGATGGGTTATTGACTTTATATACTTAAAAACCATGTTTATTGTACACATTTAATCATTAACAATTCTTAAAACACAATTTACAGTTAAAATATTTTTTTGTTAAAAAAACAATATTAAATTTTTGTTTAACTATTATCTTACAACATTTTAAACACGTTTTAACGTGTTTTACAAGTTTTTTAATAATTTTTTACAACTTTTTTTCCAAATTTGTATTATTTTTAATATTTTTCTATTGTATTTAAAAACTTTTATAGTTTTCTTTTTTTACAAAGTTCTTAATTTTTTTTTATATTTCTATTTATATTTTTCAGGTTTAGCTTAATTATTTAACTAAAATACTGTTAGATTGAAATAAAAACTATTAATATAAATGCTATTAAAAATTTCATATAAAAGTTATTATAAAAGATAAAATATTTGTAAACGGATTCATCACGGTTTAAAGTGCTTATTTAGGTAATTATATTTGTACTTATATTTTTGACAAAATTGCAAAAATGGTCATTGTGGTATGTATTTTTTGGGGGTTTTAGTCTAAACCATGACTTTTTTGGCTTTATGATCATTTTGAGCTAGTTTCGTTGCGTTTTTGTCCCTCTAAAATTGGAAACGACTATTATGCCCTTGATGCATTTATTTTCCATTTTCTTTCAATTTTTTTTAATTTAATAATTTTTATATTCATGATTAAAAGAGGGTCCACCTCTCTTTCTCTCTCTCTCTCTCTCTCACGCACACACACACTCTCTCTCTCTCTCTCTCTCTCTCTCTCTCTCTCTCTCTCTCTCTTCCGCCGTTGGTTCCTTCATATTTCCTATTAAGCCATTAAGGTGGGAAAGCATTGGTGATTAATGGTAGTATGCATCTCCAATCGATTTAGCAGTTGTTAACAAGTCACTACGATTTTGTGATAAAGCTGCTTCATTTGGACACAAACCTTCTCATAAAACTAACATCCTTTTGCCATATCCGGTGGCTAAAGACGGTGTGGGACGATGAAGGTCAATTCAACGATGTTGCAAAAAACAGATCAAAAGTGGCAAGAAAACTTCTTGAATGTGAACCCATAAACAACTGTGACTATGATCAGAGCTGGATAGAAATGGATACGGTGGTTGGCTTCTTTGCACGACAACACCAGCCAATGAAGATTTCCTCCATCGTTTGGATTTTTTTTCTATTGTATGGATTATTTCTCCATAGTTTCTATTCTATGGTTGATCAAGAACTCTATGATCAACATATAAAGATGATCCTGAAGCTTTGCTTGAAGTGTTGACATGGATGGACACATTGGCATTCTCCTTCAGCTTGGTGACTTAGCGGAGACAATACATTTGTTATTAGATTTGTAAGCTTCCTCTCAACTGATTTCTGGTAATTTAAAACAAGGCACACATATGGAAATCAATAACTTTTCTTTTTGCATGTCATGTGTTTGTTAAAATGTCAAAGAGAAATGAAACATCTATGCAAAAACATGATCTGAAATGAAGGCTTTAGTTTAGAGAATTGCAGGAATGGGTAGGGATGGCGACACTACGGTGGTGGCATAGTTGGGAGGAAGTAGCTTCGACATGGTGTGTGTGTGTGTGTGTCTGAGGGGGTTGGGGGGTAGGCTATTGCTACATTTTCCAAGTGATTTCATACCCTTGTTCATGCTTTGTTCCTCAGGTCGAAAATGTTGTTCTTGTCTACTGTGTTTTTTGAAGACGATGCCACCTCCACATGCGGTCCCTTTGATAAATCTCGTAAACTCTTCTCCAATCTTGTCCATCTTTCTGTTTTCGAAACTGATGCTAGTTTAATCCATAGGTTATTGTATATGAGTTATGAGTTGATTTGTATGTTAAGTATGCTAATTTGGGGCAAGTTTATGTGTTTTAATCTCATCCCTTTAACTGATTTATATGTGTGTGAGGTGTGTGTATTTTTAATATTTAGTGAGTGTGCAAGGTGTGTGCTTTAATTATTAGTGTGTGTATGCTTATGTGTGTTTTTTCTGCAGTTTCTGGAGAGAGAGAGAGAGAGAGAGAGAGAGAGAGAGAGAGAGAGAGAGAGAGAGAGAGAGAGAGAGAGAGAGAGAGAGAGAGAGAGAGAGAGAGAGAGAGAGAGGTGGGCCCAAATTAGTTATTTATTTTCTTTTTCCTTTAATTTAAATAGAAAAAATATAAAAAATATATCAGAAATGATATTTTAGTCTTTTCAATTTTTTGAGGGACCAAAATCACAAACAATTATGATCAAAATGACCACCAACCCAAAAAACTCGTGGTTTAGATCAAAACTCCAAAAAAATGCATACCATTTTTGCAATTTTGTCTATATTTTTTCGTAAAAAGAAATCCATCTCATAAATGTCCTTATTTTTTTTTTCACGATGTGTTTATGTTATAAAAATGAAATTTTTAATAACATTTATATTAGTTGTTTTTCTAATTTTATCTAAAAGTTAAAACTAATTTATATAAATAGTATTAATTTTTTTTTTTGGTTTTGTTTTTAGTTTTTTTATTTTTATTTTTATTTTTATTTTATTTTATTTTTTTTAAAACAGAACACATATGTGAAAAACTAAGTGTGACTCAAACATGATAAAATTTTCCTACAAGTGGAAATGCAATTTACCTAAATAATTACTTTAAATGCGAGGTCATTTACTTTTTGTATGGATACAATTTGCTTAATAAGAAAATAAATATTTTAATAAAAATTATATTAGTAATTTTTTATTTCTATATAAGAGTAATTTACCGAAATAAATGAGTAAAAACGATCTGTTTACCAAAGACTTCTAATTCAACGATATCACATGTTGACTTTCCTTCTTAAGGTAAATGTTCAAGTTTTGTATGAGAAATATGTGGATTTAGGAGTAGTTTAAAAATATATTATATTTACCGTTAAAAAAAAAACATGATGTGTTTCAAGAAAAAACTAAACATGAAAAAGGAAAATAGAAATATAATAAAAGATTGAAAAAAGGCTGTACAAAAAATATAAAGAGTTATAAAAATATGAAAAAATAAATTATAAAACAAGCTTTAATTAAATAAAAAAAAAGTATAAAGTTTTAAATAAGTTTAATAATATTCTTTTAGATAAAACATATATAGTTTATATAAAAATAGTAAATTGAATAAATAACTCTAAAAACTCGATATAAAAGTGAGAAAATGAGAACAAACACTTTTATTATTATTGTATTTTCAAAATATAACAAATACTAATTTAATTATAGTTTTGAATTTGAATTTTTTATAAACATGAATATAATTAAAATCTATCTAAATAAAAATAAATTTTAGCTGTATATTATTTCATCCTATTAAGAAATAGAAAAAAAAACATTATTTGTTTCATAACTAAAAAAGAATCCAAAAGAAGGGATGAGAAAAGTAAATAATTTTATTTCTATGTAATAAAATAAACATATAATTCTCCTTAATTTCATTTCATTTTGTATAAACAACAGTAACAATTACAACATACAGAATTACAGCCTTACAAAAGTCGACCTAAAACTTTTGTAATATGATCGATGACTGAATCAATTCAGAAGCAAGAATTTTATCAAAGAGCCCACACAAAACTTGAAGAGGGTGAAGAGGAGCCCATTTGCCATTAACAAGCGTGAAGGTACGAGTACGAGGCCCCATTAAATCTAAGGGCGAATCCGCACCAGCACATAGCCATTGTCATTGATAAACACAACCATGGTGTCATAGAGACAGAGCATGCTATCCTACGCCCATACGTACCTTACACCGTCTTTCCATGCGCCACACAGACACACACACATCCACCGCAAACCCCCTTCGACTTACCCGACCTCTCCTCTTCATGAAATTTACAAATCCAAACATAATATCTTTCATCGAGATTTCAATCTCTTCGATTCAATCTTAACAGCCCCTTTTCAATCGATCATCTGGGCACTTGATTGTTTACCCAAAGGTATAATCTTTATCCCTGAGAATTCAGATTGTCTTTTGCTGTTTCTGATTCTACTGTGTATCTGTCTGTCTTTGAATCTGACGTTTCTGCATTTACGATGTATGTTTTTTGCTTCTTTCTTTTGGGTATCTCAACTGTTTTGATCAATTTTGTGTTATCCGATGATCATTGTTGATGGTGTATCAATTGATCTCATCTTCGTACTTTAAGTTTGTAGATTGTATTCAAAAGTGATCTTACAACTGATTGATGTTGGGTTACTAAATAGCAAAATTTGGGGGTTGCCGTTGTTCTTCTATCTGATTTATCAGATCATAATGAAAGAAATTGTTCTTGTTTTTCCCGATTACCAAGTAAATTCACATCAACTTCGCTATACAACACAATTACTATGATTTTAGCAGATTGAAATTTAGTTATTCTTCAAATGATCATTATTTAAAACCATCAATTTCCCCTTTTCACTGCAAACAGACAAATAGACAGTCAATTATTTCACACAGAACTAAAAAGACCATCATTTTCATAAAACAAACAACTTTTGATGAATTATCAGAATGTAAATGCAGAAAGAATGATCTTAAATTCTTAATCAACACTTGTTTTGCTGTTAACTAGTATCAAAGAACATTTACATCGTTTTAATTACAGATGTTCAACTTCTATATACGAATTCGATTCATAACATTTCACTTATTTCCTCTTTATTTGAATCAGTATACTCTACATCTCTAAAATGGTAGTATTCATTCCCAAAAAAGGAAGTCACATTAAACAAAAAATTAATTTTCATTAAAACAATTAGATACAACTTACAATATAACCCTATTGAACCTTCATATATAGACATTCTTTAGGCAATCCGTTTTCAAGATTTAAACCTAGTTCACTTAAACCAATGCTCTGATATTTTGATACTGATACTGATAAAAATAGATGATGGGTGCTAAAAAGTTGTTAAATTTGTGAATATAAATTTGATTTGTTGAATCTTGATCAGGTTTTATAGGCATATCTTTGGTGGGGTTGGAGGATCTTTATTTGTGCATGGAAGAAGATGCCGGATTTGAGACGTGGAGTTCGCCAAGCCAAAAAAGCTAATAACAATAATAATAATAATAATAATATTGACGAAAATGCCCCTATTCTAGCTCCAACACCACGTCGTGGGACCCGGAGAGGCAAAGCTCAGGCACAAAAAGCACCTGCTTCTGGTGTTGGTCTGGTGGGCCCCGCATACCCGTACCCGATGCCTAGGCCAGCTGGCAGAGGTCGTGGGACCCGAGCAACAGAGGATAAAAACCCTGAACTATTTGGTACAGGTGTCGGTCGGGCCCACTTAAATTTGGATGTTGGAGCTTGTAATAATAACCCGTTAGTTGTTGGTAAAAGTGCTGAAAAATTGGCTGCTAATGATGCTGAAGATGAAGGAAGCACAAGCCCTCTTCCTGAAAGGGTATTTTAGTCATTTGCTTATAAAATATTAGTGCCATAAACATGTTTAACCATTTTGAACTGATATAACTTGTCAAAATGGTTGATTCGGAAAAAAGTTTGAAACTTTTATGTTTTTGATTGAAAAGAAAGTGGTTATATACTTATATTTAAACTTTTTTTATATTTTATAATATATAATTTTGGGTTTTAGGTTCAAGTTGGGAATTCTCCTGCATATAAATTAGAAAGAAAACTTGGTAAAGGAGGATTTGGTCAAGTTTATGTAGGGAGAAGGGTGAGTGGTGGCTCAGGGAACACGGGTCCCGATGCTCTTGAGGTATATAGTTATAAATTTATATATATTTTTTATTAAAAAAAAGATTTTTATTTGTTGAAAGTTTGTTGCTATTATTGACATGTTGAGACTTTTTAGGTTGCTTTAAAGTTGGAGCATCGAAATGGGAAGGGGTGTAGTTATGGTCCTCCTTATGAGTGGCAAGTTTACAGGTGAATGATGTTTTAAAAAATGTGAAATGTTTTAAAAAAAAATGCTAATTACTTTTTTTTTTTTAATTGTTTTTTCTTGAAGTACTCTTAATGGGTGTTATGGAGTTCCAATGGTGCATCATAAAGGTCGCCAAGGAGACTATTATATTCTTGTGAGTTCTCTTCCCTTAGACTCCATTTGTGCAAAAGACGTAAATGCCCTTTTCATTCTCATCATTTGTGCTTAATATGCTACATTTTTTTAATCTAGGTTATGGACAAATTAGGCCCGAGTTTATGGGATGTTTGGAACTCTAGCAATCAAATGTATGTGAATAAATCAATCTTGTTTTTAATTTTTCTTTTTGTTTTTAAAGTTGTATAAAGTTTATTTATTTATTCTTTTTAACAGTCTGTCTGAAGAAATGGTTGCTTGTATAGCAGTGGAAGCTTTATCGATCCTAGAGCAGCTTCATTTACGAGGGTATCCACGTAAATTTAAGATTTTAGACAAATACTTTATTCTTTCTTTATTATCAAAATATGTTACAATAAATTGTTTTTTTTTTTTTTTTTTTTTTTAGTTTTGTTCATGGAGATGTGAAGCCAGAAAACTTTTTACTCGGTCAACCTGGAACACCTAATGAAAAAAAATTATATTTAGTTGATCTTGGTTTAGGTACGTATTTCTCCTACTCTATTTAACATTTTAAAAATATTATCAATAAAAAAAATTCTATGGCTTAATATTTTTATATTTTAGCTTCAAAATGGAGGGACACATCATCTGGTAATCATGTTGATTATGACCAAAAGCCTGATGTTTTCAGGTACTTTCTTGGCTGAAATTTGTGGTTTTAGATGTTTTACTTGGCTTAAATAAGTTTATATATTTTTAATTTTTTAATTTTTTGTTTTATAAATTTATAGGGGAACAGTTCGTTATGCAAGTGTTCATGCACATTTAGGGAGAACAGGAAGCCGAAGAGATGATCTTGAATCTTTGGCTTATACATTAATATTTCTCTTAAGAGGAAAGCTTCCATGGCAGGGTTTTATTGTGAGTTTGTTTTTAAAATTTATAAAGTTCCTAACTTTTTAAATTGTTTATTTTTTTTTAAAAAAAGTTTAGTTCTTTGTTTTCTTTGTTGTCAAACACAAATGGGTATTGTTTTCTTTAGGATTTTTTATAAGGTGTTTTGGATTTCATCGGTTTTAACTTTTAAATAAATCATTTCAAGATTCGTAAAGTTGTGTTCTTTCCATTTTATGGGTTTTACTTTTATGCAATCTTCAAAGTTGGGTGGTTTTGTATTTTAAATTTTTATAGGTTTTCATACTAAGGTTATGATTAAGGGCTTTCGTGGCATGGTTTCTTTGAGAGCTTTTCCCTAAATTTGTCAACTTCTAAACTCGTTACTTTTTCTTTTTTTGGAATCTTTTTTCTCTTTATATTCTTTGTTGTTGAACCCAATTGGGATTTTGTTTCTAAAATAGGAAATTTTATAAAGTTTGGTGCTTTTGATTTCGCGGGTTTTAAAGAAATCATTTATAAGATTCCCAAACTTGTGTTCTTTCCATTTTGTTGATTTTCATAGTGCAAATATATGAAAGTTGGGTGTTTTTGTTTTTCTTATCGAACTGTTTCAAGATTTTCATACTCTGGTTACATGCGAAGGCACTTGAAGTTTAAATGTTGAGTAAATTTCCATTTTATAATTTGTTTTTCAATTAATAATTGATTTAAGGCTTCCATGGAAAGGTTTCATTGTGACTTCTTTCCTAAAATTTTAAGTTTTTTCCTTTTTAGGGAATTTTGTTCTTAAAATTTCCTAAAGTTCGATGCTTTGAATTTCACCAAGTTTAAGCAAATTTCTTCAAAATTCCCAACATCGCCTTCTTTCCATTTTGTCAACTTTTGCAATCTTGAAAGTTGGGATGCTTTTGATATTTAGGTTTCATCTAATCTTTTCAACGTTTCAATCAATGCAATCTTGATTTCTCTTTTATAACTTTTATCCCTAAACCTAATGATTAAAGCTGTATAATTTCAGGGAGAAAACAAAGGGTTTCTTGTTTGTAAAAAAAAGATGGCAACTTCTCCCGATATTCTTTGTTACCTTTGTCCATCACCTTTCAAACTATTCCTTGAAACTGTGACAAATATGAAATTTGATGAAGAACCAAATTACTTGAAGCTCATTGGCCTCTTTGAAAACTGCTTAGTTTCAAGTGCATCTTTACGCCCAATCAGAATAGATGGTGCCTTAAAGGTACAATTTCAATGCTATTCCTTATGATTTGCTCTTAAGTATTACTCTTTTTATGATTCTTTGATGTAAAGTTATGTGATTTTAATAGGTGGGACAAAAGAGGGGAAGATTACTTATTGATTTGGAAGATGATGCTCAACCTAGGAAGAAAATACGTCTAGGCACTCCTGCAACTCAATGGATTTCTATTTATACTTCAAGAACTCCCATGAAACAAAGGTAAATAAAATTCCATTTTGGGATGTTAAAGAAAAAACCGAATATAGTAAAAGAATGATCGATCTTTGTTGACAAATATGAACATAGGTATTACTACAATGTAATGGATTCAAGACTTCATCAACATGTTGAAAAAGGGAAGAATGATGGTTTGAATATTAGTTGTGTTGCTTCTGCATCAAATTTATGGGCCATTGTTATGGATGCTGGGACAGGGTTCACTTCACAAGTCTATGAACTCTCCCCTGTTTTCTTACACAAGGTAACCTTTTTTTTATTTCAATATATAATATAATATAATGTGTTATTAGTATTTAAATTATGTTTTTATGTTTGTTTATTGAAGGAATGGATTATGGAGCAATGGGAGAAGAATTATTACATCACATCACTTGCTGGGGCGACTAATGGTAGTGCATTGGTGGTAATGTCAAAAGGTAAGTTTTCTTTTTTATGATTTTGGAGGATGGGTATTTACGATTTTGCCCTTTATGATGATTTTTGTAACTTGTTTTTTTAGGGACGACGTACACGCAACAATCGTATAAAGTGAGTGATGTATTTCCATTTAAGTGGATTAATAAAAAATGGAAAGAAGGGTTTTTGGTAACTTCAATGACAACTGCTGGTAGTCGATGGGGTATTGTGATGTCTCGTGATGCAACTTACTCTAATCAGGTATTACTATTTATTAAATTCTTGTTGTAAACTTATTATCTTATGAGTTAAACTTTAGTAGTGTTTTTGGTATATGATGGAATTTAGAAAGGAATGGAATGGTTGGTTGATTCCGTTGGTATTTAAGAAAATCGGTTTGTTTTGCATTACCTTTTCCCATTCCAATTCCAATTCCAATTCCATTCTATCCAAACAAACAAGATTCTTAACACTTTTTTTTTTTTAAAAAAAAAAAAAAATGTTTTTTTATAGGTGGTTGAGCTGGATTTTCTGTATCCAAGTGAAGGAATTCACAGAAGATGGGAAAATGGGTATCGAATTACAGCAGCAGCAGCAACAGAAGATCAAGCAGCCTTCATTCTCAGTACAACAAAGAAGAGATCACAAGATGTTACTCAAGAGACTCTTCGTACATCTGCTTTTCCTAGTACCCATGTCAAGGTATTTTTATTCTTCTTATTATTTTTTTCTTAAGTTATACAAATTAAAAACCAAAAAAAGTTTTATTTATTTATTTATTTATTTTGTATCCACAGGAGAAATGGTCCAAGAATTTGTACATAGCATCCATCTGTTATGGAAGAACCGTATCTTGAAAATCTCAAGAACACAAAATTCTATCCGTATGTTTCTCTTTCAAAGTGTTTACTTTGTAATATTGTTATTTTGTTAACTCATTATTTTTTCATTAAGTGAAAAAGAAACACCTATATATATATATATATATATATATATATATATATATATATATATATATATGTAACTTACATTTTTCACTGACAATACCAATATGGGTAATATTCTTTATTGTTACATATTTCTACTATGGGAAAACTCAATAAAAGTCCCTTATATATTGGCTTCATAATTAGTTTAGTCCTTATATGTTTTTTTTTATTCAACTAAGTCCTAAAAATGGCAATTTTATTCATTTTGATCATTTTACCTGGTTTTACCTTGTCAATAGGTCATGCCATTTTCAAAATTTACACTTTTGGCCAAGATTTTATATTTTATTACATGTTTGTTCCAAAATTTACACTTTTGGCCCAGATTTCAAAATGTTTTTACGAATTCATGCTAAATTTAGTTTTTTTTTTTACTTATTTTTTTTAAAGTTTTGATTCGAATATGTTTTTTATTGCTGAATAAAATCATATTTATACAAAAAAACATATTTTCACATAGAAATCCTTCTTTTTTCTATATAAAGAACTTTTTTTAAAACCATTTTTGTATGAATAGAACAAAATTTACAATTTAGGATGAATTCGTAATAAAGTTTTGAAATCTGGGCCAAAAGTGTAAAATTTTGGACCAATAAAATCTAAAATCTGGGTCAAAAGTGTAAAATTTGAAAGTAGGATGACCTGTTGACCGGGTAAAAAGGTCAAAATGAATACAACAACTGACTGCTTTTTGTGACTTAACTGAATAAAAAAAAACATATAAGGACTAAATCGATTATGAGGTCAAAATATAAGGACTATTATGGAGTTTTCCCTTCTACTATCATCAGAAAACTAAAAGTAAGTTGCTACTATGAGTAACATATAAAGTACATTGCCCATATTGGTAAAAAGAAAAAAAAAATAGGTTTGCTAATATATAGATTTCCACCTGATGTGGTTATTTACGGTTTTGCCACAGGGGTGCGGTGAAATGGGCTGAAAAAAATGTAGAGTTTTTGTTGTGCGGTTATGGAAAAAGGGGGAAACTATATAAAAACATTTTAAGATTATGTACAGCCAAAAAGGAAATCTACTTTGGGCTTTTCTTTAAAAGGAAAGAAAGATGAAGGGGTGTTGTTGGTGGAGGGAGAAAGTGTAAGGGTGTATAGTGTCAAAGAATCTGACCCGATACATGAACGAATACCTGAAATGCATGTCAACGCCTGCAGGGTTTTTATCTTTTGTTTTTATAACTTTAAACGTCTTTTGTTGTTCCAAAATCAAAACGTATTACTTGTGTGATTCTTTTCAAATATGCTTAATGAAAAAAGCCCGGGAGTTGTTTATTATTTTTGATACATTGTGTTTAATTTTCTGTTCTTTTCGATCTATAATGAGAGTAACGACTGGATTAGAAAAGTGGAGAGCTTTTATAAATTTTAAAGACTATTTTTGTAATTTTGCTTAAAAGTAACTTATTGATAGATAATTTTCAAAAATACAAATACTTGATCGGCTATATTTGTAAACACGTTTTTTTTTTTTTTTGATATAATAAGGAAAAAACAGCTCCATTTATTCAAAACCAGAGAACGAATGTGTCAAAAGAATGCAGCAGATTGCAATTTCGGCAAATTAAAATAATACAATATATGTTTGACTTTTGGCTGAATTGTTGACCTTTTGCCTAATACTGCGTATCAATTCTGACCATATCCATAATGTATATACTATATACTAGTTAACTTACAGTAATATAAAGATGTAAAACATTCAGTCCTCATAAACCACCAATCAAAATCCAGCATGGACATGAAGAAGAAATGGCGCAGCAAATCGGTCAAACCAGATCGCACTTACGACCACCTTGATACGGTGAACTCCACCACCCAGTCAGGTGGCGCCTCTCAATCTGTGTGGAAAGTGTGGTGGAAGAAATTGAAGAGAGAGAAAAAGAGATTGATGGTTAGATCTTCATCGGTTCATCATCAAGTTCCTTACGATGAGTATACGTACATGCAGAATTTCGATCAGGGATTGCAATGGAATAGTGAGTCGGAGCCTGAGATTCTTTCCAAATCATTCTCCGTTCGTTACACTAATCGAAGATCTGCTATGGTTTAGAATTTAGATCATCGTCTTCGTTAGGGCAAAATTGTTGGATTGATTTCGGATCATGAACTCGTTCGTGATGATTAATTACTACAGATACAGATAGTGGAGTTGTTTATATGATTTGAATCGTTATCAAATGGCGGAGTGAATGTCGTCAATTTTCTCGGCATGCAAATTCGGTCCTCTGTAATCAGGTTACGTAGTATGAAATTAATTACACGTGTATAACAACGATGGATATAGAACTTTTATTTTTTATTTGTCTTTTTTATATTATAAAACTTCTTTGCTTATACAATGGCATAAACAATCGAAATTAAGTTTGATTTACATAATATATTAATTACACGCATGTATTACATAGTTAATTAAAAAAAATTAAATATAAAGATTTAATATCTAAAAATTTTGGATTTATAAGAAAACAAGAAAAATAATGAAGTATTAATTTTTTTTTTTTAATTTTTAAATTTAAATAAATAAACAAAATAAACTAATGAGTTTTTAATTTAGAAACTTTGAAATAAAAATGTAAGTTTATTAATGAAATTTATATTTATTTATTCATTACGTTTATTGTAATTATTACATTAAAGTATTATGTGGATTTATTAAAATAGAAAAACTCATAAAATTACATGTGGAGAAGAAATTAATTTAAAATAATAATAAGGGTGTGACAAGTGACAAAAAAACATTTATTTATTATATTAGATATTTCGGATATCAAATCTAAAATGACTTACGAGCCAAAAGAAGTTTCCAAATCATACAAAAAACCTCACATGTATTGTTTGTTTAAGAAAATCCAACAAAGTTAACATTTTATGTAAAAAAGTCCAATTAAGTTACACATTTGTTCAATTCTATAAAAGTCAAAGAAGAGAAATAAATAACGTGACTTATTACTATATCGGAAAAATGATTTTTCAGACCAACGGTGTTTTCAAACCGTTCAAAAAACTCCAATCATGTGTTGTCTGTTCACAAATACCCAACGAATTTAACCTTTTGAACAACTAAAACATGATTGGAATTTTTTTGAACGGGTTGGAAAATTTGTTGGGTTTTTTTAGACAAAAATTTAAGTTTTGTTAGGTTTTCTTGAATAGACAAAACATGATTAAGAGTTTTTGAACGGTTTGAAAACTTCGTTGGACTTGTAAGTCATTTCTCTTCATATTCAAATATTTTTCAACACCTCTAAAACTCATGAGTGACGACACGGCTTCACAAAGTCCTCTACACGTGATAGTCAATATCGGGATGGAATAATATCAAGATGAATCTGGAAAGGAAACCACAAATAGGAGGAGTAACATTGAGAGAAATCCTTAAAGTAAACCACACAACTATACGTAGCTAGCCTCCTAGTGCCTACAAAACTCGTCTAGAATGATGTGGTATTTGCCACACTCCAAGGACAATTCATCATCATCGTCACTAAACTATCGCATCATCGGTCATGAACTCACCATCACAATGTTCATCATCGAGTCAACACGTATCATGCTATGATATAAAACGACAATGCATGTGGATACAATGGAAAGAAATATAGCATGTACATACACAACATAAAAATAAAACTAAAACATTATCATTATAACATCGTAACACCAATCTCAACATGACAACTAGGCATATCATTCCATCATAACATAAAATATGAGCATGACGACCAATCATATCATAACATCACTCATAAGATGAGCACCAAGCATACCATCACATCAGTAATTCATAGCATGCCAACTAAGCATATCATCACATCATTAAATAATAACAACATTCTTAGCATGAAAACTAAGTTAAGGGTGAGCTTATTCGTACCCTCCCTATATGAGGGGGTGAGTATGTGTATGTTTGATTTTTTTTTATGCGTAACATCCTAATTTAATATCTCCCCTGTAACACATGCAATGACAGGCATTAGTGGAGCTCGGGAGGTTCCAGACCATTGCTCTGATTTCGACAGGCAGTGTAAAAAAATTGTTTTTCTATTAAGTGCACCAACTTAAAATACGAGCGCCACTACCAATTTAGATTTGTTCGAAATTTTTTAGATGCCACCCTTACTAAAACATTTTGCATCCTCCACTTAACAATTGATAACATCATACTATCGTAACATCGATCCTAACATGACAATGAGGCATAACATCACATCATAATTATAACATGAAATAGCATATAAAATAACTATTGAATCACCAATAACATTTAGTAAAACATCTAATTTTATAGGGGATATGTCATAGAAAAACAGAAAAACAATTATGTACGAACATATAATGATCAACTAGAAAAATCTAAAACTCTATGATAACGTAGGCAAATAATAAACTATACCAAGTACCTAGATTAATTGTAATTAAAATACTAACCTACAATTAAATTAGAGTTTTTCCTATATTTTACATATTTTTATAAGTATACAACTCAACAAAAAAAAATCCCTCTATGAAAAATACTATAAAACTAGACATGACAACACCTATTGTACTCACGAGTCAACTTGGGAACTCTAGTGACTGAGTTTGGAAAGTTGTTCGGTGACCCCGTAAACTCGGTTAATCGAGTTTTGGCTTTTTTCCAGGACTTAAACACTCTCCGTCTAAAGTGGTCGATGCTGACTTGGTTCCATTTGGAGGTCCAATTTGCTCCAAAGTTTAATTTTCGTGTAGAAAAGGATCAAGTGAAACAATTATCGACATGGATTTGGAAAAACCAACTCTAAGAACAATAAAAGCTGAATCACCACAATAAATCCTAACTGAATCACACAACAAAGAAAAGTTTACCATATTTGATATAAAAACACTTGTATGAGTCAAAAATAAGTAAATAACGAATCCCCTCCTTTGTCACCAAAATCGTCATTCGATGTCTCCCTCCCAATTCTCGATCTCAATCACCACCATGAAAAACCCTAGGGGATTTCTTAATTGGTAAATATAGGTAGTTTAATCAAGGATTAAAATAATTAACTAATAACTAATAACCCCACCACAGACTAAAGTATAATATTGATACAAAAGCATAATAACTAATTTAATTAAGGACTAAATTAATTAACAAATTACTTAAGTTACGGGTTTTTTTACATAATTTATAATTTACTTTTATACAGTTATTAAGGCACCATTTGCCCTTAACATACATTGCACACCTGATTCGCATTTAAATTAATTCCTACTTAATATTAAATTGGGAAGGAAAATTTTACTCGATAAGGTATGGTTCTTCTTACCTTGAATCGTTGGGTGTTATATATAGAGTGAGCCTTTAACTAGATAAATATATAGTCTCCAACAGAGAAAACTGTAAGCATGCAAGAAAAACTCCTCATATGTTCAAGGTGTTATGACAGAAGTATACAATCAACAAAAGTAATTGAAATAAAATAAACTATATATATATATATATATATATATATATATATATATATATATATATATATTATACAAAAATCAATTTACAGAAAACATACTTGTATGATGATTACACAGAAAATACTATCACGAAATTATAGAGATTGAGGTCTGCTTTGCAGTGTCCTAAGACAGAAATTTCCATGGAATGAGTCTGTCTTGAGGATACAACAATCCAATTCGAGAACAGATCTTGAATCTGTCGAAATTCACCATGATCCCTTGGAAAAAATAAACGATTTTTGAGTGAAAGTGTGTGTGTATCATTAGCCTTCAAATTCTGTCTGAATTCCTTCATTGATAGGCTTCTAACGGTGGTTGTAAACCACCAACCGAAATTAATTGCCAAAAACTATCTACAGTTAATCCTTTATTTAACAGAATTTGTTTTGCACTGAATAAATAAAAAATTAATTAATGACTAATTAATTTCGGATTATATATTAAAAAATATTATTTAGGCAAGAAGAGCCCAAGAGCCCCAAGACCCAAGGCCCTATCTTTGACCATTAATATTAAATAATCCAAGCCTACTACTAGCCCAATTTGACTAGTCCAACACCACAACCTAAACCCAATATGCTTAACCCATTACTTGATCCATTCGATTAAATGAGTGAGACAAGACTTATAATATGGGAAAATGTTTTCTCTACCACCAATGTGGGATAAGTCCCACATTGTAATTTTGTAGAGCAAAGTTTCAACAATACCCTACATTTTCTATTCAAACTCCAAGAATACCCCACATTTGAATAGAAAATAAGTGAACTTTGATATTCAAATAAGGGAAGTAAGATATGACATGCATCTGAATAGGTGCTTGTAAAACTTGAACCTTTCACCGTGAGTACTACTTGGATCTACTTTGTGGGT